TTTTATTTTTATTTAGTTTTGAATTGAGTTGAGTATTAGTTAGTTCCCAGAGTGGGTTTACACGTTTCCAGTTTTAAATGTTTGCTTTTAGTTTAGTTTTTATGACTTTCAGTGTTGCTTTTGGGATTATATGGGGGCTATTTGTCAAGGGAAAGCTAAGTTAATTTTCATTTTGTTTCAAAAGTCTAGTTTATATTTCTATTTCAGTTAACTAAAATGTTTTTTCACACCTAGTTTTATTTTTTTTGTTTATTATATTAACCTTGGTTAGTGTATAAAAATGGTTCTCAAACTTGTTCTGGCATAGCCACAAACAAAAGTACTAAGTTGTGACCTGTTATAGGACATTGTATACAAGCCTTTGTGGCAACAGTAACTTAATACTTTTGTAATCTTAGTTTCTGGAGAGAAATCGAACTTTGCAAAGTGGTTAGTAACACTTTCAGGTGAGCACGTTGGAGGAAAAACGTCAATACAAATATTCCATCCATATTCAAAGAGTTTCAATTTATTTTTTTTTAAAGAGTTTCAATACATCTATTTAAGTTACCTTATAATTGTCAAAGCTTACACGTGCTGCTAATCCCTATTCAACTTAATCATTACATTCCAAATAGTAATACTGAGCACAAACTTTAGATGAACTGGTAAAGATTTTGACTTGACATAGCAGGAAAAGCACATGTAATACAACTAATAACATTAATGATCGCTCTGTTCCAGCAATGCAGGAATCAATCATGTTATTAGTGACACCTGTGTTTGATAAAATAAATATCATGACAAATATCATGACAAATATCTATACTAAAAGATATACATAAAACTATACTGTGCTATGCTGTAAAATACATCATTACTGTCCCAGTTTGAATGCTTTTTACTGAAGTCTACTATTCAAAACTGAATTGTATGCATTTGAGCACAATAGACATTCATATAATCTTCTTGTTGCTGTGAGCTTTATTTAAAAGTTTTTATTATTATGTCAACCTTGAATGCAATTCACATTAGACACTACAGTTCAGCAGACATTGGACTCTTTGTGACACAGGATTAGAGGCACTCATCAACTAAACTCTGCTGTTGTATGGTTGTTTGATCTCCCAGTCGCTTGCTGAAGTCCAACATTTGTTGGTGTAGGAGTGTGCCGACATGCCCTAACTGCTGTCTCCTGGTTTTCAGATGGCTCAACATGCCACTCATGGCCTCCAACAGAACACCATCGCTGCTCTGACAGTCCTGGGTTAGCAATAAATCCTCTCTCCATGCTTCCTGTACGTTTTCAGACAAGTCCTTCATGTCCTGCTTAAACTGGTGAGTCTCCTGCTGGTATCTGTCTTTGTCCACCCGGGCTCTGCTGGCAGCCTCCGTCATCTGTCTGATACAGAGATGCAGCCTGCTGTTCTCCATGCTGACCTCCTCCAGTTTCACGCTACTGTCATAGATGCTCAACTCCACAGCTTTCAGCTCTGAGGCCTGCGTGTCGAGCGTGTCCATGTAACTCCCTCGCATCTCCTCCAGCTCAGCCTTCATCTCCTCTTTGGGCTGAAGCAGAGAGACGGTTTTCTCCTTCAGCCGCTGGATCGACAGTTCCAGATCGCGCCTCTTCCTCCTCTGCTCGTAGGTCAGCATCTTCAGCCTCTGGTGCCTGGACTCCTCCTCGCTCCACTTTGCTTCCACCTCCTTCAGCATCTCCTCCTTCTCCTCCACCTCCCTCTGCTTCTCCTCGTTGCCCCTCGCGATGCTCTCGGCCTCTGCGGTGCACTGCTCGATTTCCTGACTCTGTTTGCTCTCTATTTGCCCGTACTCTACCTCACACTGCCTCACGTGGCTCATCAGCAAGTCGGCGTCTGTGCTCTGGGGGTGCCGCTGCTGGAGTGCGGTCTCCTCTTGCCGCAGTTCCTGGTATCTCCGCCTGGTGCTGGCAATATCAGAGGTCATTTTCGCCACGTGCTCCTCCTGCTTCCTCTTCGTCTCATCCAAGAGCCTCCTCAGCCGCCTCTTCTCCTCCTCAAAATGGCTGATGTTCTTCTTCTCCGTATCCACGTTACCGCACATCTCTTCCTGATTCCTCTCGAACACGCGCTGGTTGATTGTGTCGACCTCCAGGATTTCTCCGATCTGCTTGTCCATCTCTTTGATCTCCTTGCTGTGTTTAACTATGGAGGCAATGCGCTCCTCCAGCTGCAGCTTGGACCGCTCCAGCTGTTGCGAGACGTGGAAATGCTCTGCCCTGACTTCGTCCTCTTCATTTAGCTGGTGCTTGAATATCTCATAGATTTGAGCCAGGGAGTCTTGACAGTGCAATCTTGATCTTCGGCCATCCTCTATTTTACCCTCCACTGTGATAATGTCCTCTTTAAGACGCTGGATGGCAACGCTGAAGGCTTCCACTAAGTCACACAGCTCTTTCTTCAGCGTTTCTCTCTGCTGCCTCAATTCTTGATGCTTTTGGGTCTCCCCCTCCAGCTGTTTCTCGCACTGGCACCGAGATGCTGTCAGTCTTCGTAAATTGCTCTCAAGCTTGGCTAAATCAATCGTGAGCTTGCCCAGGTGGTCATTGGTTTCTCGTTTCTTGTCGTCGACCCTGTCCAACTCTCCTCTGTCCCGCCTGATCACTTGCTTCTGCTGCTTGATTTTTCCCTCGACCTGGTCCACCTCTCTGTCCAGGTTGCCCTGTTTCACAGCCAATGCTTCTCTCTCCAACACCATGTTTTGCTGCAGTGTTGCTTTGTCCTGTTGGACCGCAGCGACGCAGGACCTCAGCTCCTCTATTTGCTCCTGTGTCCAATCCAGCTGCATCTGCAAGCCATACTTAAAGGTGATTTGATCATTCAGAGTAGCAACGATCTCCACATGCTCAGCCCTCACACGTTCTCGCTCTGGGTACAAGGCCTCGTTTTCCCTCAGGAGGGCTTCCTGCCTCTTCACAGTGTCTTCTTGTAGCTGACAAACTGTGCGGAGGTCTTTGTGCAGCTGCTCTATCTCCTCGGCATTAGATGCCCGGGCTGCTGCTACGTCAGCCATGATTTCTTGGCTCATTCTTTCTCTTATGCTGTTAATTTGGTGTCTCAGCTTGCTGTTTTCTATGGTTTCCACTTCTAAATGTTCATGAGTGGCACGCCGGTCCGCTTCCAGTTCAGTGATGGCAGCAGTCATCTCTGTCAGATGGAGGCTGGCTTCAGGTGAGAAGGGTATTCCGTCCTCTTTGAGCTGCTTGTCCAGCTCCTTTATGTGCTCGAGAGCAACCATGACTGCCGGGAAGTCAGGGACCAGGCAAGACGCCATTTTTATCCGTGTGTGTGTTGTGTTTCTAAGTCTCTGGGTGTCTTGGGGCTCGACGGTGTGTCTGTAGTCTGAAGTTCAGTTAGTAACTTGTGACTGGGGTTGCCGTGGCAACAGCTGCCCCACCACGAAGAAGAAGAAAGCGTGCTACGGCAAGAGAGCGAGGCCACTATGTTGTTAGCAGTGGCTAAACCATGAGCTAATCGACAGTACGTGAAACCAAGTCAGTAAGGTCGGAACTAACCGCAAGAAACTGAGCTAAAGCTAAGTTTAGACAAACAGACAAGTCGGGTGTCCCTCGCATTTGAAGCATGACTATTCCATTTAACTACTCCGTGGGGTCCTACGAGAGAGCCCCTGTCCTGAAAAACACGGCGACATAAACGGTGGAAGCTCACCCACAGCGGGTTTAGTGCTTACCTGTAATATGTAGTTAACTGTTAGCACCAGCCGAGCAGACGTTTAGGAACAACCTGAGCTTCCAAAGATGTGTAAGTTACATGAGCTGAAAACACAAGTCACACTCACCTACTGCAGCTAACGCCTAACTGGGGACGGCAGGAGGGGGTTAGACCAGCCCCGGTGTTGCCAGATTTGAGGATTTCACGTAAATCAGTGAAAAAGGGAGGATGTGGCGCTCTGCTGTCACATGAAGAGTTGTTGTTATGTTTTTTTACATTTGTAAGAGCTTATGGGAATTTCCAGTTGGGAGGAAGGTGGCCCAGTATTCTGAACTTTGTACAATTTGTATTTTCTACTCTCAATGGGGGAAATGTCAATTACAATTCTACAAGTACAGGGCCAGTAATAAAGTTAAAATCAGTATTTCAAGATTAGGTAAGACTGCAGGAGCCACCTTGAGCTCCTTATTGTTACAGTTCATATGTATAGGTATATATTACCACACAGTCTTTGGGGTGCCTGAGGTTCTGGGGCCTGCTTTAGCTGGTTGGGATTCCAGCCTTGGACTTACATTTGTTTAAAGCAAACATAAACTATTCATAGTGCATTTCAGCTGGTATTTTTCTGGGTGAACTATCTTTCTTTAATGTTATTTTAAGAGCTTATTTTCACACACATAGCAACTAATCATTGCTAGTACTGCATAAGTGGGCCTATTAAATACCTGCAGTAGGATACAAGGTTTGACATAGCTCAAACAATATTCAGAATAAAGTGGGCAGGCACATAAAACTCAATTCATGTGGATTCCTGCACACGTTGGTGTGGCTAGAAATAAGCTGGCAGATACAGTAAATATACAAAAGGAGCAACAAGAAAAAACCAAAAAGTGTGGTGGAAACGGTGGAGCATCAACAAGAGAAATGTTTGCAGAGGAGTTCAGGTGATGAAGGACGCACGGCTATTTTCAGGTGTTTAGAAAACACAGGAATTAACAGGAGAATTTAATGTTAGTTGACTGTAATAGTTTAATGTCATAGTACCCAGTCTGATCCACACTCCAATCCAGAAGCTGGCAGTAATGCACCTAAAAGCTGTTTGCCAACCGCCATTAAACAACAAAAGAAGAAGACATTTTCCACCTCTCTAAACAGCGGCGCTGCATCCGGCGGACAGCCTGCAGAAAAGCAGGAAAAGGGCAACAGAAAGATGGATCTTATCAGTAAACCAAGAAGCAAGTCTATCGTGTGGTTGTACTTCGGCTTGAAGGCAGATGAGAAGGGACAACCTTTGAACTCTGGCGAGGCCGTCTGTCGTTTATGCCGAAAAATAGTGCTTGCAAAAGGTGGAAATACCACGAATTTAAGAAGTCATCTGAGACGTCGACATCGTGCAGATTTTTTCGAGAGCACTTCTTCCTCGACCTCTGGAGCTTTGTTTGAGGCTCAAGGTGATTTACCACCAAATTCAGCACTTTTCACTGCGAGAATTGTGAATCTAAAGTGTGCATCAATTTTAAGTCCTATTGCACTACTGCATTCATCCACCCCCTTAAAACTGACAGAATGTAATTGCAGCCGGGCACTATGGGGTTTTATAAACTTGCATTGCATTGGGGAGCAGATAAAGGTGAAACAATAGTCCCTAACCCGGATGCTGTTTGCATACTCTTTGCTAATTTATAGCACTGGTCACATGATATGGTATATCTTGTTTTAATCTTTAATGTTGCAACGTAGAGTTATTTGAGTCTGTTTAGTGTGTCACATCGATGAATGCAACGTTTCAATCCGACCATGCATTGTTATTGTATTTAACACATCCAAAGAGTATATACAATCAAAATAGTTCCTTACGTCGCTTAATTAACACCGCCAGCAAGTTTCTAAGGGTCTGTTTCTTTAAACGGGGGTAATCTAATGTCAAGTTCTTTCACAAATAATGGAATGTACATGTCACAGGTAGGGGCACTGATAACCTGTACACTATACAACACAGAGTTCATTCATGTTACAGTGTTATTACTAACAAAACTTAGCGAAAGAGACGTGTACGCATGCGCAGAGAAGATGCGACCCCAGGACCAGAACTGTTTTACGGCAGTCTCATACCCTTGTTGTTGCCATGGTATCACCTAAACAGCCATGCACCCAGTCTGCTGTAAAGAGCTGATGGAGGTGTTTGGGAAATGTTGGCATTAAAATATCGTTTGTAATGGGATATGCTGCGCGTGTCCCGCTGGTGTGATATGTCGCAAATAACGACAGTTATGCGGTTGGTGCAGTGATTGGTCAGTTTGAGCCGCCATCTTTACCGTTTTAAAATCCCTCTTCTTATCGACTGACCCCGTCTCCTCAATACAGGCTGATAATGACTGTGGTATAATCGCCGTATAGCACCGTAACCTGACTACTCGAGCGGTATCACTCCGCTTTGTTTACATCCTAACACCTGTGCTCGCTTCATTTGACATTTATTACAAAGCACAGCTGGTGGAGCTAGCAGCTAACAGTATGAATGCACACCTGAGGGATTCCCGTGAACATTTGTTTGAACCTGATACGAAAACTAAAGAAGAAATAATTCTGAAAGAAGAGGAAGAGTCACAAGAAGAGGAAGAGTGTGAGGTGAATACCACTGACATTTGTAGACATGCAGTGGTATCAGACTTGGAACTAGACGAACTTGAAGACAGCAGGACTGAAATAAGTAAGGTTACAAAGAAGCAGACGACATGGGCTGTGAATTGCTTCATTGGCTGGCTGGAGTCCCAGGGGCTCCAGGTGGACCTGACTGCAGTGGAGAAGACTGAGCTGAACGGGCTGCTGAGACACTTTTATGGATCAGTGCGTAACAGCAAAGGAGAGCTGTATGGGATCGCTAGTTACATTGCACTGAGGGCTGGGCTCAACCGTTACTTCAAAGAGCCTCCCGTCAGCCGCCCTGTGTGCTTAATGAGGGATGCTGAGTTCACCTCAGCCAACAAGGTTTTCCTGGGAGTGCTCAAGAGAATAAGGAAGTCGGGTCGAGACATAACATCACACCATCAGGCACTGTCCCCCAACGATATCTGCATCCTCAGACACTCGCGTGTGATGGACACCAGCACTCCAAGGGGACTTCTGAACAAAGTCTGGTTTGATATACAGGTACATTTTGGCCGTAGGGGGAAGCAAGCTAACAGGAATCTAAAGCCAGATTCATTTGTAATCAGAAAAGACGAGAGGGGACTGAGATACTGCACTTTATCCTTCGGTGATGAGGCAAAAATTCATAACGAGAAGGACCAAAGCACTATGCTTGAGAAGCCAGGCAGTGAATTCTGTCCCATTACTTCTCTTCTAAAGTACCTCAGCAAGCTCCCAACCAATGCAACAGCCCTTTACTTGCAGCCTAAGAAGGAGCTGACAGATGAAATGTGGTACAGCCACGTACCCCTAGGAGTCAATTATCTGGGCTCAATGCTGGCTCGCATGTGTAAAGAAGCCCGCACGTCAGTCATCTATACCAATCACTGCATCAGAAGCACACCCTTTCACCACCTGTGTGTCACAGGACTGGAGGGGAGAGATCTTATTCCTGTCAGTGTGTGCAGGTAGGATGTGTTTACTCACCACTTACCATCTTGATTTACACGTATTCCATTACACCTGCTGAAATATCATTTTTACAACAGGTCTGAAGGCTCCCTCCAAAGTCACCAGACGCCATCCCTCGGGAGCCGTATGCAGCGGGGCGAGATAGTGCCAGAGAGCGATTCAGCTGGCCCAGCAGGTCTGCCACCAGACAAGTGGGCACCCCTAACAGAAGTTCACTCAAGCGCACACATTCTGCACCACTGCTGCAATGGATTCATTATCTTAGTGATTACAGTCTGAGTGAAATGCTCAGATAAATGTCAGAATGACCAAATGTGATACTGGAAACAAGATGCTAAAGAAACATATATATCTCTTTGGGGGAGGGGTGGGGGGCACAATAAAATTAATCAAAACAAACTAAAAGTTTCTGTCTTTGCTATAAATAACTAATGTGTAAATGTTGTGTTTACTATAATGTAATGCGTAAGGTTGTATAGTAACAATCCCATTCTAATGCAGTAATTTCCTGTGTTGCTTAATTCTATCATCTCGGTTTTGTTACTGAAAACAAAGGAACAGTAAACATGCCTCCTCTGGATTGTCAGTAACAATAACTCACCTTAAATCCACATTTGATTAATTATTTCTGGGGTTTTTTTTCCTCTCCAGGTTTGGATTTAAACCAGGAAGAATTTTTCGAGGATGTTCCGTTTCTCCATACTGCAGCAAACCAAAACTATGTCCCAGACGCTGTGCTGCCGCCGGGAGAGCCGTGGCTTCACGGCGGCCCCTCCCGGGCGGTGCTGTCCCTGCCTTCCTGCCTGTGCCTGTGCAGGGACATTGGGTCTGAGATGTCTGGTTCTGGATCTTCTGGCGAAGAGCAGATGGGAGAGATGAAGGTGTACGCCAAGTGTCACCTTCAGCAAGGAGTCATGTTTGGGCCATTTTTAGGAGAAGTGTGCCGAGGACAAATGCCGACCAACCTCAGATACTCCTGGGCTGTAAGTAGACAGGTTTGAGTGGACTTAAAGAGGAAGTTTTAAGAAAGGGTTGTTGTCTTGTTTTTGCTACAATCACAATTAAAACCACAATGTAACTTGTGGCTTGTGTTGATAAGCAGCAGGAATTCCATATGAGACTGGTCATAAAAATAGTTAACATACACATTGCTCTTGATCTTCAGATCAGGGATGATGCTGCATTTGTCTACGTCGATGCTTCTGATGAGAACAAATCTAACTGGATGAGGTGGGCAGTTCTTACTAACTCAAGTAAAGTTTCCCTCTCAAAGTAGTTCTCTCTTCTGCTTTACTTTTTTGGGTTTTGTTTTTTTGGGCTTTTCTTTAATCACAGCACAGAGATTGGCTCTTACTGGCCTGGTCATAGTTACATACTATAGGTGTTTGCTCTATGTTTCAGGTACGTAACGTATACTAGCAATGAGGAGGAACACAACCTGGTCGTCTTCCAGTTTTACCGTCGCATATACTACAGGGTTTCCCAGCCCATCACAGAGGGAACAGAGCTCAGAGTCTGGATCGGCAAGGATTATGCCACCTTGCTGGGTCTGGGGATGGGTGAGTTTTACTGACTGAAGCATGGAATGACATGATGCAGATCCTCTTTTACTTCCAAGTGGATTTTCAGCGGGCAGTAGACTTTATTTTGGCCAACATCTTATGTACAGGTGCACGATCTGCTTGTTTTCAGTTCCGATCCCTGAATTTTGATACTTGCTGCAATTAAATTGGTAGTATTGTACAATGTCGCACAACGTCCACCCCTCTGAATGTTGGCTTTACACACATGTCTATATTTTCTGTTTTTCATGACTAAAATATGTCCAGACAAGGGACAGCAGGTTCATGGTCCAGCGCAAGCTCCATCTGTACATCTAACTCAAGATAAAAAAAAATTAATTGATTTGTGCTACAACATATTGGCTATGGGGCTTAAAATTGCATTGTTGCATATTTCTAAGTTATAAAACCAACAGACTATGGAGTCTGGATCTGTACGTGGATCAGTGACGTCACCTGACACTGATGTTGGATCAGATCAGTCCCAACTCTAATCTTATGCATTTGTTTTGGGTGGGGGGATGCAGGTGACAATGTGAAATGTGAAGTGGGAGATAAGGAGACGGTTCTACGCCTCCTGCAGGACATCCAATTGGTCACCCTTCCAGAGCCCAGCAGCTCTTCCCTTTGGTCAGACCACAGCCAATCACAGAGCCCCATGCTTGTGATCAGTGACGTGACGACGATGTCAAATCCGGATGCAGCCAGTGATTCAGGCATGATTTCTGGCTCTGTCTTCCCCACCTCCTCCCTGATCTCCTTCCCGTCCCCCAGCTCTCATCCATCTGAAAAGTACGATTTCATGCCTGGAACTGAGAAGCTGCTGAGTAACCCAAACGCCACGCAGAACAGTCCTTGGTACTTTTTTGGGTTTGAGCCTGACCCAACCGGTCGGCCTCTGGACCGGAGCACTGTGGTGTGTAAGCTGTGTGGGGATAATGTGGGCTGTGGAGGAGGAGCAGTGGATCTCCAAAACCATCTGACTAACAAGCACCACATCAGACCACGTGACGTTAACAAGGATCGAATAGGTAACTGTTACTGTCTGCTGCCTGCTCACATTGCATAATAGATAACAGTCTATCAAAGTTACAGTGTTAAAGAAAAGTTCTGGTTTATTACAACTTCAACCTTGTTTTCATAGATCATTTCTATCTGTTCTGATAAATTTACTCACCAGCGTTATTGCTGCTTCTATCTGAGAACATAATTATCAAGATAATTATCCAAGCAGCAGTGCGTTAAGCTAATGCTATCATTGACACATGCTCACAATGTTGATGCTAACATGCTGATGTTTAGCAGGTACAGTTTTTACAGTGTTTATCATCTTATTTTGTGTGTGAGCATGATAACATTTACTTATTTATACTTAACAAAGTACACCATAGCTTGATGGGGAGGTCACTGGTTTTGAAAAAACTGTCCATAAAGTAAAGTATCCGGCAAACTGAAATGTTGACTTCATGGCAAAACCGTCCAATAGTTGTAGAGGCATTTCATTAAAAACCACAAATGTCAACCTCATCGTGGCACTAGAGGTGCTCTGGGCACCATGGATATCTGCACCACATTTCAACAATCCATCCACTAGTTCCTGTCCCTAAAATACAAAAAATGTCCACCTGCAGGTGGTGCTACAGAAAAAGGATCACTAGTTAAGTCTTTATTTCTTAGTAAACCGTTTAATAGGTAAGCTAGTTAGACAGTTGTAGAAACAAGAGTTTTGGTTTTAAACAACTTGAAGCTCTTTTACTCAAAATGTGAGTCAGAAAACTCTTTGTCAAATAAACAAATGTACAGGTTATGATATCTAGTGAAATAAACTCTGTTGTCAAAGGGTTTTTCTTTCTTCTTTTTCACAAAAGGTCAACAACGCTCACAGCCAATGATGGTTAACAGCGGTCTGGTCAGTACACTCCCCCTGGTATTGTCTGCTCATGTGACCGATGCCATCGCCAACTTTCTCATCATGGACCTCCAGCCCCCTGCTCTGGTAGAAGGGGAAGGCTTCAAACAGCTGATCCACACCCTCCTGCCCTCCTACAAGGAGCTGCCTTCACCTTGTCAGCTCGAGAACCTCCTGAAAGAAAACCATACCAAAGGCAAGACGAGCCTGGCTCAGCTGCTGAGGAGGAAAATGGGAAGTGGAGAAAATGAGGAGATATCTGACTACACTGCTCCCATCGAGTTTGAGTCCAGGAGACGTGGGCGACCTCCCAGCCATTGGAGGGAAGTTCCTCACTTTGTCACTTTAAGTGTGGATGTTTGGTTCCACAATTGGCAGGGCAACACTGAGAGGTACCTCACCCTCTGGGCACATTACATAAACTGTGACTTTAATTTTCAGAACCTGGCCCTGGCAACCCAAAGACTGACAGAGAGCGGGGTGAAAGATCACAGTCTTCGAGCACTGGAGGCTCAGGTGAAAGTGATGGCCCAGGAGTGGGGAATCTCACAGCCTAATATGGTCTTGCTGGGAGGGGAGGGAAGGAACAAGATGAGGCCGGGGCCGATTAAGTGTGACAAAAGTGGAGAGGCTGCGGGAAGCGTTCCTCACCCGAACTCCACAACATTTCTTGAGAGGGACGACTCTGTGTCGCCTGAGGAACCACGTGGCTCAGAGCACGGCCATTCTAGTGAAGGACTTCCATCTGTGCCATGTTTCTTCAGCGCTGTGCAAGGCTGCATTGAGGAAGTGATGTCACATCCTGTCATCTCCAAGACCCTCAGCCAATTCCAGAGTGTTCTGTCAACCCTGTTCTTGCCTCCGGCTCAAAACAAAAGCTTGTATCAGTACCACACCCACAGTCTGTTGAAGACCCTGACGAAACAAGAACAGGCAGAGCTGAAGTCATGGGCTCATAGCCGGCCAACTTGGAATAAGCTGTACCCTTTACTGAGCACCCTCATCAAACATAAAAGCTTTCTTTGTGATATGATGAGAGAGATTAAAGGTGAGGGTTTGTCTAAAGAAGACACTTCTTCAGAATCCAGTTCATCTGGCAGCTGCCACGCAAACTCCACGTCCACCACGTCCCCAACAAGCGCTACAACCTTGCGATCTGAATGGAAGGTTCTGGAGGAACTGTGTTCGGTCCTCAAACCTCTGGACGTGGCATGTCGAACTCTCGCCAAAGAGGCATTCCCCCGTCTGTCCCTCATCAAACCCATTCTAACCGGCCTGCTCTCTCGCCACCTCATGTCGCGGCCAGGAGATTCGTCGTCCACCCTGAAGGAAGTGAAGAGGATGATGAGGCGGAACTTGGCAAGCTGTTACGACAACCCTGTTGTCAACAGGGTTCTGTGTGTTGCATGTTCCCTTGACCCCCAGTTTCACGGGCTGGGGTTCATGGAGGAGAAGGTGAGTCGTAAAGTTAAAATGCAGGGAATTGTTCTCTAAACCCTGCCAGTTATTGTTGCTACGCCTGTCCAACTTTCTGTTCTCGCATTACACATGCAATTTACAATGATAGCCGTGGCATATTTGCTATTAAAATTCTTAGTCATTTTTAAGAGTCAAGTAGCCGTATAAGAACTTTGCCTTATAAAATACAGCCTAAAATCCACAGTGTTTAGATATAAAGCACTGTAAGCTGGGATATGAATCTGAACAGGCATTTGATGCCAACTTTAAGTATCTGACAGTTTTCAATACTCTATGGACACATTTTGGTCAGAACCAAGACATTGAGGTTAGATATCCAACTCTATGAACAGCGCTTTCTACTGCAAAGCATAGCCACACAAGTCTGATACTGAACATTTCATTAAAACCAGTATTTTCTTGGGGTTTCCATTTGGTTTAGAACACATATTAATGATTAATATGCATTAAGAGATTTCTGTTTTCCTGCTTATGTCTATTCTATTGGCCAGGAACACTGAATTACATTCACTTTTTAGGCTGCCTTCTTGATCAAAAATTCTTCTATGTAACCTAACTAATCCCGTCACTACCCTCCACAATCATGGTTATAATAATGTGTGAAGTGAAGAATACTCTGGAAGACAAATTAATATATAATGCAATATAATTAATATTAATATTTTTATCTTTGTTTTAATTACTTTCAAGGAGCAGACAGCCACTTTTGACTGGTTGAAGAAAGAGGCTGTTAGGATTGTGAAGGAAGACCGGAGGAGAAGCAAAGGTAAGAAGTATAGCCAGAGCAAGAGAAGCCCCTCACCTGGTTCTCCTGAGTCGGAGAGTGACCTGCGGAGGAGCAAGCGCCTCAAAGATTCCCGCCCAATCAACTTCAAAGAGCTCGTCGACGAAGAGGAAGAGAGCGATACAGGTGAGGCAGATGAGAGCGAGTTGCTGGATCCTGGTTCTCAAGGTGGGCTCTCTGGTATGGAGTTCCTCCTGGGAGACCTGTTCTGCTCCACCCCCAGGAGCAGGCAGAACTCTGTGGAGGAGTCTATAGACATGGAGATGTCTGTCTTCAGAGCCGACAAGGGGACTTCTCTGGGAGTGGAGCCCTTGCAATGGTGGAGGACGAAGGCAGTGCAGTTTCCACTGTTGGCCACAGTGGCACGGGCCTATCTGGCTGCCCCGGCAGTGGCAGGTAACGCTGCACAGGACTTTGTGGCGGAAGGAGCGAGGGCCACGTATAGAAAGAGAGCCTACATTCCACCAGAAAGTTTGGATTCGATCTTGTTCCTACACCACAACCACATGCCTACCACTGAGAGTGGGCAAACAGCAGTGGCACATAATTAGCCTGTTGAGAAAAAAAATGGAGAACAGCACAATATCCCCACAAGGACACAAACAGATGCTATGTTTGGATGCAGTACACACAGAGGTGTTAAGTGTAATTCATTTATTGGGATCAAAGCTTGAGACTGAAGAGAAGAAAGACAAAGAAAATCGGTTTGTACTGTGTATAGTTTGGACTGTTATCCTTCTGATCTACAGTTAACTTTGCTGTGTGCATTAAGTACCTTGTAGCGCCTAGTGCCTTACCTCCCTTGTATACAATCACACAGTAGATCGGTAGGTATTCCTAATTTTTATTTTTGATCCTTAATGCTCATTTTTAAACGAATGTGTGTAACTGTGATTACAAGTTTGTGGATTGTTTACTACTACCTTTGCTTATGCACCACGTGTTTTATGTTATTAACAGTGTTGGGCAGTAACTCATTACTAGTAATAATTTTCCTTTTCCCAGTAACTAGTAGTGTTACTCCTCCATAAAATAATTAGCTACAATATTACTTTCGTTGTCACCCTCCCCTAATTTTTTTTTTTTTTATGATTAACAGTTTATTGGCTTAAAATATTGGTTCAAAATAGAATGTAAGGAAGACATAGCGCGATCATAGACAAAAACTAAACTAAAAATACATTTTATTAAAAAAAAAGAAGACAGTGAGTACTTGAGTTTACAACCTTGCCTGTATATAGGTACAGTATTCTATCAAAATGTATCCCTCGTGTTTTCTAGTTAAATGCTCTGTTTATGAGCCAGAATGCCATTAAATGTCCAAAGTGTAGGAATGATACTTTCCCCATTTCAATTTGTTCTCCTCCACTTTATCAAGCAACCTATAGGACAATTGTTCTAGGGCAGCTAGCTGACCAAGAGAGGTGTGCCACAAAGATAGTGCTGGTGCAGAGGAGGCTTTCCATTCTTTGACCAGAAGTTTCCGGCCTAACATGAGGAGAGTATGGGTCCAGTTAGAAAGTGGAGGTGTCAGATCACTTAATGCAGAGGGGTGTCACCCTCCCTTAATTTGAAATCCAAAAATCCAGTCACATCTTTGGATTCATTTTTATGATAATGATATTTGTTATTGTGGAGGAAACGAGTTTGGAAGATGGAAACACTTACAATAGGCAGCTAGAAATATTCCATTACTTTGATTGAACTAACAAAACTGGATTGTAATTGTTGTAAGTGAACTTTGGGGAAAAGGACACCATTACCAATTTTTTGGGGAGTAGCAGAAAAGTAATATAACTAGTAGTGTAACTAATTACTTTTGGCAGGGAATAATAACTAAAGTAATTAGATGACTTTTTAAAAGAATAATCAGGAATATAAATTTTGAGTAACTAACCGAGCACTGGTTATGAATCAGTATATTGTGAAAGAAAACTCCAAAGACCAGTTATTAGAGTAATGCTGCCTTTTGTCAGTAGATTATTAATGGAACTACAGTACTACAGTGGATGAAGCTTATTAGCATAATGTCTGTATTGTCTTAGACTGTGATGTTCGTATTCATGTACATGCAGAATAAATGTTTTTTTGTTTTTGATGTCTTACTGTAATACTGTAACTGTAAATATGCCTGTCACATACTTTTTTAAATAAAATATATTACCAATGGAGCTAATTATGCTAATTTAATCATGAACAATACACTTACACAGTATACAAGGTAGAGCACACAGTACAGTAGTGTGCTCTACATTGTATACTGACGTTAATATAAATACATGTGGACATGTATACACAGCATATTAAAGCTTAAAAATCTGAGTAAGCCAATCAATAAAACATTTACATTTAACAACAGTTATGTAATAACACGTTTTTATTAAACTATTAATACATTTTGGTTTATATAAAACAAAAAAATGTATGTATCCATTCACACAAACATTAAAAACATTTGAAATAATATCAGTGCACTTAGATTTAAAAAAAAAAAGCTATACAAAATACTGTACTGTATCTATTTTCAAGAAATTCTGAACAGGAGCAGACAGGCAAGTGAGAAGGTGTTTCCTTTTTCTCAAAGAAAATCATTTAACAACCTGAAAAGGAAAACTTCTAGACAGAACACACTTAAAACCCTTATTTATCCCCTTAACTATAATGTGGCTTCAGCCATTTTGGAGCCATTAGTGACCTCAGTCTGGGTGTTGTCCTCTCTGTGGCGAGCTACCCTCCTGCAGTGGATGAAGACATAGGCAGGATGGATAAACACCAGCAGAGTGAGGAGAGTCAGAGCAATGTCCACCTATAACACATCAAAACAACAGTTTTCCATTTGTCTGAAGTCACAGTATCACACTATTCTGTACAGCACCTTCTGACATTAATTCACCGACCATTATTAATGCATTCACATGCCCTTCACAAGGATTTGCTAGTCACCCAGCCGTTCTTTTTCTAATTCTTAAGCTTCCTTGAGCACTTACAAAAAAGGGGTCTCCATCCAGAGCTCCTTTGACCAGGGCGAAGCAGGGGTACTGCAGCAGAGAGACAACTGCAGACATGGACATCACCAAGCCGTACAGCTTCCCAAAGTGACAGGCTGGAAAACTGAGACAAAGAGAGACATGTTCACAGGTATTGCTATGACTATGTATATCAGTAGTCTGACCACTGATGCTCTTTACCAATGCATTCTTTCTCTATTTGGCATTTATTATCAGGTTTTGACACTTCCTCCCTTACCACATTACATTTTTTGCAGCTACTGATATATCTTCAATTCAAGTAGAATCTATTTGAAACTCCAGCAATTTAGGATTGCACTTTCAAAAAGGTGAGAGAGTTGTGGGAGGCAGATAAAAAAGTCCATTCTCAGTGGATGTATTGTGCACTGCTGGCTTCAAGTTTCTACATCACACTGTACAAGTTGATACTGGACCAGGACTGGCTTCCTAACTATTTGACTGGAGAGGGACTCATTTCACCATAATGATGATAATGAATCATTAAGATAGAGAAGTTAATTTAGTGCACCTTTGAATTCCCAGAGTAATGTACCTCAGCACTTCATAGAGGATAGGGAATCCGCAGAAATTGTATGATGGGTAACACTTTATGAATGGTCATCAATCTACATTCAATCTCACTCCAGCTCTGCATTTGTGTATTTGGTGTGAAACTGGTTGAAAAATTAAAATGTTACAGTATATATAAGTACATCGTCAAGCAACAGCACAAGAGGTGCAAAGAGACCAGATAATTGCTGCCAGACCTGCAACAGACCCATACACTGAAAAATGTAATGTTTGGAACATCATGGTGACGTACTGAATGATGTCAACATCAGATCTGTCTGTTCTGTTATAAGGTGTTTCCTTTATTTTGTCCATCTACTGTGTGTGTGAATGCAATAGCTACTCACGCAATGCTAATGAACGCTGCATTTCCCCCGTAGAGGAAAGAGCGATTGAGGACTTGTAGAACAAAGGTGAGGTACTGCAGTGGGAGGGAAGGAACGGAGGCACACACAGAGAACAGCAGGCACTGCAGCGAGGTCAGGAACAGAGACAAAGAAGAGGAGCGCAGGTCTGCCTCCTGCTCTGTTTCTCCTACAGGACGAAAAATGGTTAACAAATAATGAGTAACAATGCTCCGTTGCGAAAACACACATGCAGTTATAACAGCAGTCATTGATTCACCTGGAGCCAGAGGCTTCCCCTTGTGTCTGTCCATGAGGAGTCCGTTCCAGGGAGCACACAGCACTCCACACAGCTGGGTCATGGCAAAAGCATTGGTGTACTGACTCACTGAGATAAGGACACAAAAAGAATAGAAGAAAAAAGCAGGAGTTGGGGTTGGAGGGTGATGATGAGAAGAAAGAATAGATATGTCATTAAGAGTGTAAGGAGAACACTTTAACTCCCAGTCAGTTAATATGTGTGTGACAAAGGGTCAGTGGTTTTTATGATGAGTTACCCAGGTTGGGGTCATTGTTGGCCAGCCGGTTGAGCCTGGGGTTGAGTGTGCCAATGAAGAGATAGTGCCTCAGCTGCATTATGGACAACCACAATATGTGCCACAGGAAGAACCAGGACAGCACAAAGCTCTTGAAACTTGCCTCTAAACACATGGAAATTCACATGAAATCTGACATGAACATTGTGGGAAAATGAAAGCAAGTTCAGGTACTGAAAAGGTGCTTTAAAGGTCCAGTGTGTAACATTTAGGAGGATCTATTGGCAAAAATGGAATATAATATTCATAGGTATGTTTTCATTAGTGTATAATCACCTGAAAATTAGAATCAAGCTGTTTTTATCTAGACACTGGTTGCTGAACCACCATGTTTCTACAGTAGCCCAGAACCTTTTCAGAGCTCCGAAAACATGCAGAAAACATCCATTAGAGCTTCAGCGATTATTTGATTAATCAGTCGACAGACAGAAAATTAATTGGCAACTATTTTAATAACTGACCACTTGTTTTTCAAGCAAAAAGGCCAAATATACCCCAGTTTCAGCTTAGGAAATGTGATTTGCTTCTTCACTTTGTTATATGTGAAAGTACATTAATGTTTAGCTTAGACATCACAGCGGGTTCCTTATGTCTGTTAAACCGCAAACAAATGTTTTTAAAGGTCATATAGTTTGTCACTCTGCTCCTATACCTCTGGTTGTACAAACACACAGAGCAGACATTGAGGATAAGTACCTTTTCCTGAGTCTTGGGCCTCTGTCCCGTCCTCAGGTGCTGGTGGCACATTGACCCTCCCACCGGACTGCTGTGAATCTGTCATTGCACCATCCCTCATCCTCTCAAACTGCTCCACGTTGTAAGTGTTGGCCTGGCCGCAATTCACTCTGTAGGTCAGGAAAAGTGGATGTCATGTCTGATTCCTGGAGATGATCAACGTGACCTAATACAGTAGCTTCTTAAAGAGAATAGATAAAGAGAAGTTATTGTTCTCACCCGTAGGTGTAGTATTGTGGCAGAGGGTAGGGGATGTGTGTTCTGGGCATCAACAGGAAGGTCCTCAGCAGGTGTATGATGCTGCAGAAAGACAAAACAAGGAAGGAGGAGCGGAGACAGATTCCCTGTTCATAGAGGACCTGGAAAGCAGAGGAAAGTGTCTCGGTTAAACTTAAAGAAAATGGATAAAAGCAACTTTGTAGAAGTTGATGCTCGAACAAAAGAACAGAGAGCATACATGTACTGTACAGTATGTCAAATAAGCACAGACCTCAAATGGTGTATTTCAATTGCATTCAAGTTAAATTGGATTTGATGGAAAAATACTTTTTTTGCTGTTTTGAGAAAAAGAACTAGTGCACTAAATAGAAGACCTAGCAAAACGTTGCATTTGCATTGTCTATGTGAGAGCTCACTCACTGTTCACTGTGTTGTCCACCCTTTTGTGTCAGCCACTGTGAAGCAAGCTGTCTGACTGGTGAGAATGACCAGTGCCACCTACCATCCTGCAATGTGAATGCCCTGAGCTGTGCCTGATATTGTTTTATGACAACTACCCATCTAGTAAATGATTTCAGATGCTGCCAGATTATAGCATTAAAACGGCATCACTGACATGGCTGCACTCCTTTACCTTAATAATGAGAAACACAGCAGAAGAGGAGTCAAAGGCACCATTGTAGAGGGTGATGATGGTGGAGCGATGAGCAGCAAACAGGTTGCCCACCTTCCCGACACACAGAGACACAGTTCAGCAATACAAAATTTATAGTTGTGAGTTATTAGAGAGTTATAAGGTGTGAGAATTATAATTTAGTTTGGACACACAGTACGGATATATATCAGAATTCACCTGCATGTTAGTCAGAAGGAGCAGAATTCCCCCCACAGCGATGCAGGACAATGCAGGAAAAAGCAGCTCTGAAAACACTACATGACAGAGAAAGACAAACTTTAGGCAAGTAGATAAATGATTCCATTGATTATCACATGATTTTAAACTTATACCCATCTCCTTCACTTTGATTAGTGTTAGGGTCCAGAGTCTCTAGAACAGCGGGAAAGTTGGCTATTTAAGCATGAAACCACTGTTTAGTCCAGCAAGAAAGCTGCACTTGTTTAGTCCTGTGGCAATAATGTTCAATGGTCCAGACTATAGAGGTAGAAACATAGATGCTGCGTTTCTGATTTGACGTGTGTCTGCGTGCCATATAGGGGATATCAATATCAGCTAGTTAACAATACTGAGAGATGCAGACACTACAAAATCGATCGTAACTTGCCTAACTCTGAACTGATTTTCATGAAATTTGCTTTGTTATAAATGTGAGAAATAGAACCTGGTACTGTTATTTGCTGGAATTAATTCAGTTACTTATCATCTATATGATATGTGTTCACACACAATATAAACCATCTAACTAGAAAGAATATTCATGTATATTTAAATAGCCACAATAGAAACAAGGTGGGCTAAAATTGTGTGGAGAATAGCATGTCTGCCATGTCCCATCGTGAAAGGACTGTGGCAGGAAGAAACAAGTGCTATGAAACAGGTATGATGACATTTCCTTCCTCTGATGTAAACTACATTATTTATGTTGCCCAGTAACTCTAACATTATGCATGTTGTGAATGTGCGTGCGCCCACCTGCACTGGAGAAGGCCACAAGAAGGGTTCCAGTCGTGTACAAACATC